GACTGGCTTATCCCTTAGGCAAAGTAAGGCATCTGATGGAGTGCCAGGAGCTGCAAATTGTGCTCTTCAGCCTGTAGGAACCTTGTTGTCTGGAGCTTAGAATAAGGGAAGATGGGTTACCAGTGGAGGCAGGCAGCCAGGGGGTGGCAAAAATGGCAGCAGCGTGTCTTCTTGCCTCTCAAGCAACAGCAGAGTTTGGGCCACCGATGAATCAACAATACCTCATTAACACTAGCCACAGGGGAGTGTGTCTGTCTCCTTGCAGCTTGCTGCGGAGTTAAACAGAGGTATTAATTGGCAGTTGTAGCACAACACACATTTGTGGTCTAATTAGTGTGTCTTCAGCAAGACCACTGGTTCTTAACCTTGGGTTACTCCGGTGTTTTTGGACTGCAACTCCCAGAAGCCTTCACCACCAGCTGTGCTGGCTGGGATTTCTGGGAGTTGCAGTTCAAAAACATCCGAGTGACAAAGGTTAAGAACCACTGAGCAAGAGGATCTTTCCCTTATCCTTAAAGCTCAAGACAAGACAGTACGTCATTTGAAGAGCCCCATAGCAGTACCCCATCCTCAAAGTGTACTTAAAGCAGCAGCAGTGCAAATGACCCAGAATCTGCTAGTACCTGTAATAAGTCTGGCTCTTGCCTTCTGGACCTGCTGAAGCTTCTGTACTATTTTCAAGGGCAGTCTTATTTAGAGGGCATCACCGTAACTTATTTTTGAGATTACCCAAACATGTACTTCTGTTTTATAGGCACTTTTTCAGTCCAAATAGGGGCACAGCTGGGCAGACAACCAAAATTGATAAAAGGCAGTCCTGAACTCTGAGCCTTCATTGATAGAACCAAAGGACCGGATCCAGGAGCACTGCCAAGCTGCATACCCTGTCTCTCTCATCCCATACATGTTCTCTGAAGAACTGGTTTCATGTTGCTTGACAAATCTATAGAACCTCTCAGGCTGGAGTGCAACAAAGAAAAAATGCATATCCCCCGTGGAAAGCAAAACTTCCCTCTATCTGCTTCTGGTTCTGTTAAAACTAACCTGACTGTAGTGTAAGCAACTCATTGAATGTTTAATTAAAAGACAGTCCTACTGTTTGCAGTGAAACTTGCTCCCAAGAAGATGTAGAAAGTAGTGTTCCCATTTTAGAAGTTCTGTCCAATTATACATTTTTTCCTCACATCTCTCTTTGGTTGTTGATGGCAGATAACCATCAATATAGATTGCTTTTGTTTTTCTTTATAGTTGCATTCCTTTAGTGTATCTTTCCCCTTTCAGATGTAAAAGTCATGCATTGACTATTAATCTGTTTTTATATTTGTTAGCTTGCTTTTTATTTCTTTTCAACCTTGAAATGGTTCTTAGCTTGGAAAAGCAGGATTCTACTTTAGGATTAGAAACGAATGTGACATATTTATGCACAGAAAGAAAGCTGTTAATTCTTCTCAGCACCACCCCAAAGGTGATGCTGATAAAGTTTAGACAAGCAGAGGTCTGTTGTTGAGTTCTGCTCCCTCCAAAGGACTTCTTCCTTTTGTTACAATGACTTTTCATTATAGCAAAGGATTTTGGTAGTGATTAAAGGAAAGAAGGAGAACTTTTTAGTTTCTCAAACAATAAATGTCATTGCCATCCTTCACCATTGCCTGTCTCCACACAGGGGTGGATAAGCCTCAGCTTGATGGGATCTATTTAAAAAAAAGACCTCTATGTTTCTTTGTGCCAGGTGGTGGAAAGGTAATAGGAGTAATGGTGTTCAACATGGAGCTAGCTACCCACTGCATCCCACAAACCTTGCACATGAACAACTCACATATAAAACTCAACTGAGTTACTGAAAGAACAGGAATTCTTACACAGAACTTTAAAAAAATTTACCTGATAAACTGACATAAAATCCTGGAATACTTACTAACAATGTTTTTATTAAGCAGCCACCCTCCTATGTTTTCTTGTTCTTTTTCTCCTTATTAGACAGAATGTATTTTAGGAAGAAAAGAGGTGGTGGTGCATGCAGTTTTCTAAATGAGAGTGGCCCAGGTTAAGGTGGAATCTAGGTCTCCCAACTCGATGTTAACCGCAGAGGCCTTGCTCTAAGTAGTAATTAGGTCAAATGAACTCTGTGACAAAGAATGATGAATATTCAGAGATTTGGAGCCAGGTTTTCCTTTATGCAAGAAAACATTCCTTCTATATAATGAACTGGAGCAGGTTCAGAAGAGGGCAGGAAGGATGATCAGGGGATTGGGAACCAGGCCCTTTGAGGAAAGAGCTGGACATGTTTATCCTTGCGAAAAGAAGACAAAGGGCAGATTTCATAGCACTTCTCAAATATTTGAAAGATAGTCATACAGAGGAGGGGCAGGATCTGATCTTGATCTTCCCAGAGTGCAGGACATTTAATAATGGCTAAAGGAAGCCAGATTTAGGCTGAATATCAAGAAAAACTTCTTAATTGTTAAAGCAGTATGATAGTGGATCCAATTACCTCGGGAGGTAGTGAGCATTCTAATGTTGGAGACATTCAAGAGAAAATTGGACAACCATCTGTCGGATCTGGTTTGCTTTGGACTCCTGTATTGAGTAGAGGGTTAGACTCCATGCCCTTGTAAGCCCCTTCCAAATCAATTATTTGATGATTCTATGATACATAATTCCAAACGCTATACACCAGTGGTTATGAATGGGTGTTACAGAAACATGCATCTACAGATATATTGCATTTTAGAATTGTTGTTTTAGAATTCTGGGCAGAGTGGTGGTGCTGTATCTTGTCCTTTTTTGTCT